TTATACCAAAAAATATACATATTACACTTTTATGTTTTTATTATATTTTAAATATATTCGGAAGAGTTGGAAGACTGCAGCATGTATGCAAATATGGACTACGTGTATAATGTTGATGTTTGAGCTACTCAGGGTTGTAAAATAAAATAAATTCGACATCAAGACCTTCTGTGACTTGGCATATAAATTATTTTGTGGAGAATTGTTTTTGTTCAATATAATGGAAGTTCTTTATACAGTGATGTCGATTTTACAACCATAGAAAATGTTTAAAGTGGATCGGAATTGGATAGAAGAAGCATGGCGCCAGGCCAATATGAAGAGGATTTAGATAGATCATATGACGCCGAATTATTGCATGAAAAGTTTAATTTCCTTAGATGATTTTTTGTTTTATTATTAATTGTATCATTATAATTCATTAAAAAAATTACTTTTCTCATTTTTAGAATGTCATCCCGTGCATCGCACGGGCATAAATACTAGTAAAATCTAAAATACAAGTTTGCACCGATTTCATATTTTGTCTTCCATGTGCACAAAAACACGTTTGGTCCCTCATCTTTCAATAATTAAACACATTTAGTCATTTCGTTAGTCCGTCAATGACGGGAGTGATGCACACATGCTTGATATCGTTAGGTACTAATGAAAAATTGACTGAATGACCAAAAGTGTTGATTTTTTTATTTTTTTTATGAGGGACTAAATATGTTTTTTTGTGAACAAGGATGACCAAATATAAACTGAGGTAAACTTAAGAGACGAAAATATATTTATAAACTTAAGAGATAGTTCAGAGATAAGTACTGTTAAAATTTGTAATGGTGGAATCGGTCAGAATGGATCAGAAATGGCATTTTTGGAAAATTTTAATTTTTTTTCGGAAGTAAAATATGTTGGGCTAGCCCAATATGCTTACAATTTCTCTATCTACTGGGCCACGAGCCCAATTTAGAAGAACACTATTACAAAGCCCAATCACCTTCTAATAAGGTTTGGGCCCAACAAATTAACCTCAGCCCAATCGACAAGGTATAAATAACGATTTAATTCATTTATTAAAGGCACGTCATATTATCTTAGCAATACAACAATTCGTATTCTCTCAACTACCTCTACTATCCGCACGTGTTCTTTGTTCGCAGGTATCTCAGGACCATCTAGCTCGTGAGCCAGTGATCCACTTTACTCTCCCAACTCGTCCTACCTCAATTAATTAAGGTGATCTATTTCTAGCATCATCATAATGGCGCCGTCTGTGGGAAGGCATCCAAGATCACACAACGCGCATGATGTCCCTGAGTCATCTACTCGGAGAGAACATGACAACGCTAACAACCTCCCACCTCGCGGAGGCTCTGGCTCGCCACTTCCTCCTCGTAATCAGGATCCACCTTGTGATATCCAGATAAATCCCCCGCAGGATCCACCACTCCCCGCTCCTCGAACGGTTCAGATAACCGAAGAGGCCCTCCAAGACATGATTGCAGAAGCTTGAGCTCATGTTGCCACTGAAGCAGTGGCACAATACATTGCCACAACGGGAGTCAACGCTCCCTCTGCAGCTCCACCCGTGGCACAACGTCCTCCACCGCCACTGGATAACGCATCCACCTCAAACCCTAGGTCTCGGATGCAACAATCTACTCATCGCCATGATGCACGAACTGGGCGACAAGACCTACGTTCACCTCCAAGTGACAACGCCTCTCACTAACGAGCTCCTCCACACAATGGTGGAGATGATGAAATTAACAGTCAAGTATCTCGCTCGAATCGCCTTCCTTACATAGGTAATCCTATTGGTGGAAGGGAAATACCTCCAATAAGGTGCAGTCACTTTCACTATCGCAATACTCAATGAGATACTACACCAACAGGTAAAGGTCTCGAGTCTACCGCAGTTCGATAGAACTAGTGACCCACATGAGCACCTTGAAAAGTTCTACGCCATGGCAGATCTATACGACCCAACTAATGCGGCGATGTGCAAGATGTTCTGCACAACGCTCTCCGAGCGAGCATTGAGCTGGTTCAACTCCTTGCCCATGGCCACTGGGTTAATAGAAGTTCTCTCCCAACTAACAGATCGCTTCACCAACCATTTCGCTATCAATAAACAATACTCTAAGACTCCCGCGTACCTCTTCACTATCACTCAGAGAGGGGGCAAAACCCTCCGCAACTACATTCAACGATTTGTAGAGGCAGCTCATGAAGTTCCTAACGTGGGAGGAAGCATGTTTTTTGGAATCATTCAATAAAACTTGAAGCAAGGTAGATTCAAGGAATCTGTCGTAGGAAGACCTCCAGCCACTTTGGATGAGTTATTAAGTCGCGCTAGGAAACACATGCGCATGGAAGAAGCTTCGACCCTCGCTCATCCCAAGAGGAAAATAGATGAAGATCACTTCGACACCCGACGACGAGATGACCGACGACCATCGTCGACATCTCATGGACGATCCCCATCTACGTCTCTGGACTTCCAATGATGTCAATGACACTTGGAGCCTCTCGAGCCCATAACATAGTTGGTGATCGCATCATTCTAAACTTGGGGGGGGGGGGGGGGGGGGGGGGGGGGAAAGCTTTAAAACCCCAAGGATGATGCATCCTTTCACCTCTCTACATCAATTGGATAAAAACCTACATCATCTACTTAGTGCAAGTTTAGTTATCTCCGTGTTATTTCTCTTTAACTACATAATTATTAGCTCAAGTCAAGATTAACCCTGGGAATACTTAGAGATGTTATGTTAATATATATAGCCTGGCAAGCTTGATTACATAAACTTCTCCAACTATTTTCATTGGGTCCTACATTTAAAATGTGGTCACGGTCCTAACATACTTACGACCCATGAGGTCTTACAAGGGGTACGATCCCCATCAAAAAATCTTGAGAGACTGATCCTCTCATCAAGTACTTCACGCACAATGCTAAATATAAACACATACAAGCAACGCGTCAAACCAATGACAATGTCAAACAATATAAACGTCAAATGAAATAGTAAGGGCATACCCATCTACTCCAAGTATGAAAATACAAGAATTATCATCTACATCGTTCCCCACATCATTGACATCCTCTACTTTTTCTCCCCCATCGAGAATGCTCGGCTCCACCCATCGGATGATATCCTCATCAACCCCACCCGCGTCGCTAAAGCGAAACAACTCCCACAAGGAGATAACTTGCTCAGACCCCTCCGAGTCATTTGACGAATTTATCGTTATAACGTCGACTACTAGTACCAACCCCGTTGGTGGTATCAGAAATGTCAACATTCGGTCCAAATCGTCGCTCCAAACGCCTAACCCTTATCTCGGTTCGCACACGCGCTCCTGAAAAAAAAAAAAATAAGAAGAAAAGTTTCAATTGCGCGCACGACCCAAAAAAAAAAAAAGCCCAAAGCGCCCCCTCTGCACAATATGCGCGTGTTGTCCACGCGCGCGTGCGTCTCACGCGCTACGGTACTGCGCCCCTCTCCCAGCGCGTGGCGGCCACGCGCTTACGTGCGACGCACGCGTGCATCCCACGTGCGTAACGTCATTGCGTCCCCCACCGCGCGTTCCCAACACCATCAAATCGTGCGCGCGTTCCCGTAACCATCAAATCGCGCGCAACTCTTAATGCGCCCAACCAAATCGCGTGCGGATTTCAACGCGCTCCACAAAATCGCGCAAGGATTCCAATGCGCCTCACTAAATCGCGCGCGACTTCCAACACGACTAAACTAACCGCGCACGCTCTCCAACGGGTAAATAAAAATTATTATTCATCCACGCAACGCAAACGATTAACAAAGCACTACAACACCGATCTATTATCGACATGATCCAGTACCCTTTTCGACTTGGCTTCCACATCGACTGGAGAGTGCGGGGCTAATGATATGCCTAATTGGGCCAGCCCAATAAGCCTACAGTTTATCTACCTACTGGGCCACGAGCCCGATTTAAAAGAACACTATTACAAAAGCCCAATTACCTTCAAATAAGGTTTGGACCCAACAAATTAACCTCAACCCAATCGACAAGGTATAAATAACGATTTAATTCATTTATTAAAGGTACGTCCTATTATTTGAGCAATACATCAATTTGTATTCTCTCAACTACCTCTACTATCCGCACGTCTGACTTGAGCGTCAGAGGGGTTTCTGCCGGATCAACCCCCAGCCTAGTTCGCGTGTTCTTTGTTAGCAGGTATCTCAAGACCATCTAGCTCGTGAGCCAGTGATCCACTTTGCTCTCCCAACTCGTCCTACCTCAATTACTTAAGGTGATCTATTTCTAGCATCATCAGGTTTCAATTTTCGTTCCAAAAAAATCGGAAAGCAACAATCCATTCCAATTTTGGAATGTCTTGGAATCGACGGAATTTCGGAAATTTCGAAAATTATATTAGTTTATAATATGTTATTCCAAATTCGGATATAATGAAAATTTTCACATTATATTTCTTTATTTGTTGAAATTTTACAGGAAAATGCAAGAAAATTCAAAAGAGAGTTTGAAAAAACGCAATAAATGAAAACACTTGTCGGAAAAACAAATTAAAACATATATTTTCTTATAAGAAAAAATGCAACATAAAAATTATGATACCAATTAATCTTTTTATAAGGTTTTAATTTACTTGACCCTTCGGTATTTATATTTTTTATATAAAATATAGCATAAGTTATATTATGGAATTACAAAATATATCATAGAATTATATTATATATTTCAAAAATCCATATAAAAATTCGAAAATAAAATTGGATCGAAAATCGGAAATTTAAATTCGGAAGAATCGGAAATCGGAACTTCGGAAATCATAATGAACAATATGGTTCAAAATTAGGATATTTTTTAATTAAAATTGGTGGAATTCGGAAATTTCATTTCAATTTCCACCCGTAGTTACGAATGATACTTAGAAGTGTTATATGGCTTATAGTTTAGGGGTGGTGTATTTAACCTTAAAAGATATAAACAAATAAATAAAGAGGATGAAAGGAGATAAGCAACCTTTGGTGGTAGAAACATTTTGTCGAGCAGATTGCAGCCCAGACAACAATGATGAAAACCCCCGTGACTACCACCACAATCGCAAGAAACCCTTTTTCAATCCCCAATTCATTATTTTCCCGGCAAACATTTCACATAATCCCTTCAATAAATCTCCCACTGGTGGCGGCAGTGAAATGCAGCAAAAATGAAAATCCAGGAATCGGAAACGAAAATGGAAATGGAAATGGGGGAAGTTTGAAGAATATATTGTCGGGTATGGTGAATGAGAGTGTAATCGATGAACTTCTGAATAAAGAGGAGAACCGGGTTTTGCTTGATGGTCTGGAGCAAGCCTCGCGAAGAGTTGAAATCGCCAAGAGAAATCTTGCTGAAATTGAAAAGCAAGAAATTGAGGCCAAAATCATGAGGGATTACATTAATCAGCTCGAATCAAAAGCCTCCGAGGTATTTTTACTACTAATTAATTCATTGATTAATTAATTGAAAATGATGGTGATGATAAATATTAGCAAATGTAGATTGAAGAATGCCAGAAAGAAATATCGGAAGCGAGAGCTATGGTGGAAGAAGCAGAGCGATCTTTGACAGTGACGGACTCTTCTTCTTCCTCTTCGGAGAGATTCCAATCTGTTAAAGCTGCTTCAGTATCTGCTGTAATCGGCACGCTTGTACAAATTCCAATCTCGTTAACACGTGTCACCACCTTTTCACAATTGATACTTCCTCTCTCTATAACCTTCGTAACTTGTGCATTATTTGGAGTAACTTTCCGTTACGCAATCAGAAGAGACTTGGATAATTTTCAGCTTAAATCAGGAACATCTGCAGCTTTTGCCTTTGTTAAAGGTATGTAGTTGATATCTAAAACATCTTACTAAAAAACAACTTAAAAAATTAATTTGTTCATATATATATGAATGATTCAGGCTTAGGAATGCTCGGAGCTGGAACGGCATTGGAGTTGAACGCAGAGAGCATTATATCACATGCTTTTGATGGATCGATTTATGTTTCGGAAAGTCTATTGATTTTTCTATTTGCTGGGGTTGGTCTTGATTTGTGCATTAAGTTGGGTATTCTGTATCCATTTCCTATCGATCCATCCATCACTTCCTCCAAGGACATAACGACTAGCTAGTAGTCAACATACATGTAAGTAAATCTTGTTGGATAGTTTCTACATCAAAACTAACCTTCATCAGATTTGTATGCAGTTAGTTATCTTGATCAAGATTAATTATTGAATACTTGATATGATTTTGCTCGAATGACCTATCTTTGCATTTGTTTTTGGTATTTAACCGGAGAAAACACAAATTCTATTAATGCTTCAAAATTACAACTTTAGTACAGGGGGTGATTGCAGAACCTAAAGTGGGCTTTCGACAACTTTTTGTTCAAAATAGGATACAGAAAACTTAGGCATGACTCAAAAAACAAAACATCATTTGTTGCCAAAATAACACCCTCGTTAGCTAGAGCATCTCAGCTGCATTATTAGCTCCAATATTTTTCTTGGAAAAAACAAATACAAAAGATTTCTATTGCGATGTAATAATTTGCTCTAAGGATTTGAAGTTCATTATAATAAGTTCTTTGAGCTTTTTTTAATAGGTTGGTTTTTGTTGGAGATTTCTAACCAAATTTATTCAGGGACAAGGAAGAATTACAATAGTTTGATTATACACAAGTGATAAGAAAACCACAACGGTTATCTTATACAGATAACCTTAGCTTATACTTAGTAATTTAGCCCGTCTGATCCACGGGCCTTTAGAATATAGGGGCTATATGACAAACACCCCTCATTCAATTTTTACATTCAATTTTTACTTAATGATAAATCTATTTTTATTAATTGATATTTGTTATAAACCCAATTGACATGACTTATCCAAAATACCCCCATTTATTATTAAGGAAAATTAATTAATTTTTTTAAATATGCTAATCCCTTTAGTATCTCCCATATTACGCCATTTCACATTCTTTTCTTTTCTTTTCTTTTCTTTTTAATGGTTTTCTTTTATTTTGTAATTTTTTTATTTTCGGTTTTTTTATTTTAAATTATTTTTTTCTTATTTATATTTCATGTTTTTCATTTTGAATTTTTTAAAAATAGTTAAAATTCTGCGAAAAAAGAAGATATAAACCCACTATAAAAGACACCATGTTCTCTCCAATGAACCCTAGAGCATAGTCCGTGTAATCATCTTATTCTCGTTATTTGAAAAGTAAACCACTATTAGAAACGTAAACCACTACTATGTCCAAGAAAAAAGTGCAAGACCAATTACAAAAAAATAACGTAATCCACTTTAATAATAACATAATCAACAATAAAGTTATCGAAATCCACTAAAAACATACGTAAATCCACTACTAACACAACTAAAAAAAACATAAATTCACTATTCAAAAATCCTCTATTTAAAACGTAAGTCACTAATATATCTAGGAAAAAGTGCAAGATCAGTACACCACCACCAACAAGGCCGATGAGGGTCACTGTATCAATCTGATCAAGAAAAAAATTAATTTATAAGAATTAATAGTCTTTTTCACAAGATAGTTATAAATAGGAACCTTCCCCACAAACCCTAAAACCATTGAAAGACGATTGAAGCGAAAATTTCTTTTTTACCTTTTTCTACCACCCATAGATATCGTTCGACGACGGTGAAGAGAGAGGAAATAGGGGTGGGGGCTGGGGCGGGGGTTGGGGCAGCGCCGGTGGGGAGAGAAGAAGAGGTGAACGGAAGAAGATCTGCAACGGTGAATAGAAAATAAAATAAAAGAAAATAAAATTTAGAGAGAAAAAAAGAGTTACACTCGAGATTTGTGGAGCGGAATTTGTGGGTGAGATTGAGAACGTGATATTAAGGGAACAAATATTACGTATATTTATATTCAACCCTAACATACCTTATAATAATGTAAGGGTATAATTGTGATAATTAATTAATTTTTATTAATAAAAGATGTTTTGGATTTATCTTAAAAATAAGAAATAAATTTGGGCTCATTGTAATTGGACTTTTGTGAAATAATCCCTAGAATATAATAGGAGATATGGTACATTTATCTATATCTATATTTATTTTTTCTATAAAAGTATGAATGTTGGGACAATTTCTTTCATTTTATGTAGATACTAAAATGCCCCTATCAAAAGATTTTTGAAAGGCAAAATTTGAAGGGTAACTAAGTAATGTAATTTACAATTAATAAGTAATTTAATGAATATTGCCTCTTCTTCGGAAGAAAAGAAAACCTAAACTTGACCGTTGCAAATGTATGTTAAGAGAGAAATATAAAAATAATTAATGTATTTAGACTGTACTATTTAATGTAATATTTGTAATTGAAATTTAATACAAGACACTCAAAGGTCTTAAATAATTTAATATGTATTTTAATTTGAACCGTTACAGAAGAATAAAGGAAAATAAAATGATCATATTCATATGATACTCATATGTACGTTTCCATAGAATATTAGAATATTTGTATATTATATCTGAGGCTTTCATACAATAACTAATCATATAAAGAATGATTCAGGAACACAATTTAACCATATCAAGGATTTGCATATTTCATTCTTTTTTTATCGGCCGTGTTTACTGTTCAAAAAGCAAACACCGGTATATTGTTATGTCGGCACTTGTTTACAGCTACCGTTTAAAGTGTTTATTCACCTTTCATCTTTATTTTGATTTACTATCTTTTTTTTCCGTATTTCCTACTTCAGGTCACATGTATAAGCGGGGATAGCTTCTTGAGATTCAAGTTCATCATCTTTGTATTAATTACGCCTGGTTGGTTAATTGGTAAAAAAAATAGTTTTTTTTAGATTCGAAGTATTATGTTCATGTTCGAGTAGAGTTGACTGTCTCTCTAATATTCCAATTGAAAAGTAGTAGTTGTCTGTCATTGATTATTCTCGACATTGGAATCTAATAAGTTTTCTTAGTTGAAGTGGATATAAAAGTTATAATTTACAAACGATATGTGTGTAGCTTAAAAAGTGAGTTCATTTCTACCGCAACTTTCTTGATCGATATTGATTATTGTTCGAAGTCTTGCAAGGAACTCAACCGTTGAGCATTACATTGGATATAAGAGTGTACATATGTCAAGAATGAGTTTCTTAATGTACAAGAGGAAAATATATTTTCAAACAATCGCTTTTCCCATGTCCTATAAAATTTGAAAATTTCTTTTATGCGATATTCAAATCAAGGGTATTTTCATGTCATGGTGATCAGAATTTTCTTGTACTATCCTCTTTCCAGACTAAGATATGTAAGTCCTTGGACTTACATTCTTTGCCAACAACTTCAAAAGTCCCGGTGAGAAACCGGGGCTTACATTTTTTAGGGAAAATTACGGCCACCCCCAACGGCTTACATTGTCTTACGAAATTCCCCTTCCTTCAGTAGATAAATTTAACATTGTAAAGGCAGACGTATAAGAAAATACATAGTTGAGTAGGATGGTTGTAATTACCGAAACATGAGGAGTTTTTTGTAGTTTGATCTTACCTCGGGGGGTGACCACTATTTTTTATTTTTCGGCATTATGCTTTAATTATTGTTGAAGAGGAAAATTACATTTAAGATTGTTCGTGCAAACTGAAGTAGCAGAGCCTACTCCAACTGTAAATGCTATTATGATGTGATGAATGGCTGATTAAGGTTAATATTTAATTGAAACATAAAGGCAATATATGGAACAAAAAAGTTATTCCAAATCATTTATTTATGAATGATGTTAAGCAATCATGAGTAGATGTTTTTTCTTTTCCTTGATTACTGTTGCCCCCAATACTTTAGTTGGTGAAAATATATTCATTCTTCAATGGTTTTATCCACCAATCTACTCCAAATTTCAATCTTGAAAAATGCTAAACAACCAACAAATAAAGAATTTTTGTATCTCCCGCAATAGTTGTAAATACTAAGGATATACACTAAATTTATGGACGACACTCATTTGATGATAAAAATAAGGATAAATTACGGTCACCCCTGGGTAATGTCAAATTACGAAAAAATCCTTCATGTTTGGATAATTACAACCACCCCTCAACTATGAATCTTCTTACACATCCACATTTGCGGTGTCAAATTGAGTAGAATCTTCTAGATAGTGTGGAAAATTTTCCAATTTGTACCCGTTTTATCCTATTCGAGCCTCACATAGTGAAATAAAATGATCATAAGATGTGTCTCTTACTGTAAATATCAGATTGTGTTGCATCAGAAACAACATTTTTTCATAAAATGATTACAAACTAGAGAACGATCCACATAATGTAGATTGACGTGTAAGACGATTCATAGTTGAGGGGTAGTTGTAATTACCCAAATATAAGGGAATTTTTTTCATAATTTGACATTAGCTCAGGGAGTGACTGTAATTTATCCTAAAAATAATACACACATTTAATTATTATTAGCATCATGTTGAATAAAGATCTTGTATACCACACAAAGTTCATGAAATTATGATGCAGTGAAGAATGAAACAAGCCATATGAGATGATGTACAAAAACCAGTCATGATATGTTATAATTATATAGGAAAATTACAGTTTATGTCCCTAAACTTTACCATTAAAATGATTTATGTCCTCAAACTTTTTCATCCATGAAATATATTGTCAAACTTGCCATTTTTTTAAAAATTCATGTTATGCCATCAACTCCGTCGGTCAAATTGGACGAAAATATCACGTGTGGCGCACGTGATGTCGATCTGACTATGAAATGCCAATTTGGCTGACACCTCGAGATGATTTGGCCGAAAAAAATGACGTGGAGTGACATGTGGTTCTCTCCTTCTATTTCAATTTAAAATTCTCAATTTGTCATTAAAATCTCAAATTTCTTATTCCCCTATTTCATTGATCTGAACAGTAATCCTAACCCCCAAATTCTACTCATAGTCTACACTGCAACATATAATATGATTGAAATCGAAACTACAACCTCCCAAATTCCCAAAACGATGTTCAAAGATATCAACTTTGAAGAAACTTACTAAAATCGAAAATTGCTGCTCTAGTGTGATATTCTAGCTCCACAGATTTTTGAAATTTGCTAAATTATGGTTGGGCAATCTTGTTGTTGCGGAATTTCACCTCAATTCAATGGTACTAGGAGTTCAGAAGGTAAGGTTTATGCATCCGGTTCAATGAAATAGGAGCAATGAGAAATTGGGGATTTTAATGATAAACTGGGATTTTATAAATTGAAATAGAGGG